AGGAGAGTAGAATTCAGTGGAGTGTGGATTAACTCAAGCTGTAGTATGCTCAGCCTGGGCCCAGCCTTCTGAAAGGGACCATGGGTACTGCTATACTCACCTTGGTCTAGAGAGGCCCCTAGTCTCCAACCTGACTCAGGCAAGCTCCTAGACAGCATAGAGATGCTCTGAACCCCAGGCTGTATTTTAGGAAATTTAGGAAGTAACCCATTGGGAGCACTGGACTACATTCAGAAGAACTCAGTTCTAGTTTCAGATTCATTTATAATTCACAGCATCACTTAGAAGTTTACAATTCCTACCATTTGACCCAGCAATCCCATTATTGGATATATACCCGAAGGCAAATGAATAGTTCTACCATAAAGACACATGCGTGTATATGTTCAATGCAGCACTATTCACAATAGCAAAGAAATGGAATCAACCTAAATGCCCATCAATAGTAGACTGGATATAAAAAAAAGTGGTACATATGCACCGTGGAATACTATGCAGCCATGAAAAAACAAGATCATGTCCTTTGCAGGAACATGGATGGAGCTGAAGGTCATTATCCTTATCAAATTAATGCAGGAACAGAAAACCAAATACTGCATGTTCTCACTTATAAATGGGAGCTAAGTGATGAGAACTCATGGACACAAAGAAGGGAACAATAGAGACTGGGGCCTACTGGAGGGTGGAGGATGGGAGGAGGGAGAGGATCAGGAAGAATAATGGGTACTAGGCCTAATACCTGGATGACAAAATACCCTCATGACACGAGTTTACCTATATAACAAACCTGCATATGTACCCCTGAACCTAAAATAAAAGTTAAAAAACAAGTTTACCATTCATTCTGGATCTCATTTTTATGATTGGCAATCTGCTAGTATCAATCTCTACCCATTTAACTCACACCAAAGGGTTAGAGTTGGTGAGTGTCTCTATATTCCACTTCACTCCAAATTTGCGTCTCATAAACCTATTGTTATAGCTAAAGTCCTGCCACTAGTAAAATTCCTCTAGGAACAAATATATCAAAAAGTTTTTCCCTAGGAAGTGAAGTAGAGGTTAGAAGCTACTGTTCTACTGCCTGAAAATTGGTGTCTTAAATGATCTGTGAGATTTATTTCTGCATGATGTATATCCTTTTAAGTGCTTATATAAGACACAGGACAAGTGAGGCTTAATAGAATGAGATCTAAAAAACTCTGGGTTCAGGGTAAAGTCATTAAGTGCTGTCCTGGCAGGTGACAACCCTGGATTACTCAGGAGAAATAAGGATACAGGATTCTTGGGCAGCTCAGAGGAGAATCAGAGTGAGCTGCTAAGCACTAATCACGGGGTACCCATGCCAATGACATGATTTAAAAAATTTGTACTTCTTGCCATTTTGTCAGCCAGCAAAGCAATGTCTTCTCTCAGGATCCAAAAGGCGATTACAGCTCAGCCTTTCAGCCTAGAGGAGGAAACAGTTTTTCTGTGCCCAATTCCTTGTTCACTGGAACAGCCAAGCTTATGCCTAGATGCCAAGATGAAAGTCCTTTTCCTTCCTTCCTTCCTTCCTTCCTTCCTTCCTTCCTTCCTTCCTTCCTTCCTTCCTTCCT